CAACAGCATTCTTCAATGAACTGGAACAAATAGTTCAAAAATCCATATGCCACCACCAAAGACCCCGAATAGCCAAAGCAATCCTGAGAAGGAAGAATAAAGTGGGGGGGATCTCGCTCTCCAACTTCAGCTCTACTACAAAGCCACAGTAATCAAGACAATTTGGTACTGGCACAAGAACAGAGCCACAGACCAGTGGAACAGAATAGAGACTCCAAACATTAACCCAAACATATATGGCCAATTGATATATGATAAAGGAGCCATGGACATACAATGGAGAAATGACAGTCTCTTCCACAGATGATGCTGGCAAAACTGGACAGCTACATGTAACAGAATGAAACTGGATCACTGTCTAACCCCATACACAAAAGTAAATTCGAAATGGATCAAATACCTGAATCTAAGTCATGAAACCATAAAACTCTTCTTAAAAAACATAGGCAAATATCTTATGGACATAAACATGAGTTACTTTTTCATGAACATATCTCCCCGGGCAAGGGAAACAAAAGCAAAAATGAACAAGTGGGACTGTATCAAGCTAAAAAGCTTCCGTATAGCAAAGGACACCATCAATAGAACAAAAAGGTATCTTACAGTATGGGAGAATATACTCATAAATGCCAGATCCGATAAAGGCTTGACATCCAAAATATATAAAGAGTTCACACACCTTAACAAACAAAAAGCAAATAAATCCAATTAAAAAATGGGGAGAGGAGGTGAATAGACAGTTCTCCAAAGAAGAAATTCCAATGGCCAACAGACACATGAAAAGATGCTCCACATGCTTGTCATCAGAGAAATGCAAATTAAAACCACAATGAGATATCACCTCACACCAGTAAGGATCACCATCATTGAAAAGACAACCAACAACAAATGTTTGGCAAGGTTGTGAAGAAAAGGGAACCCTCCTACAGTGTTGGTGGGAATGTAATTTAATTCAACCATTGTGGAAAGCAGTATGGAGGTTCCTCAAAATGCTCATAATAGAAATACCATTTGACCCAGGACTTCCACTTCTAGGAATTTACCCTAAGAATGCAGCAGCCCAGTTTGAAAAAGACAGATTCACCCCTATGTTTATCACAGTACGATTTACAATAGCCAATAAATGGAAGCAACCTAAATGTTCATCAGTAGATGAATGGATAAAGAAGATGTGGTACATATACACAATGGAGTATTACTCAGCCATAAGGGAAAAACAGATCCTACCATTTGCAACAACATGGATGGAGCTAGAGGGTATTATGCTCAGGGAAATAAGCCAGGCGGAGAAAGACAAGTACAGAATGATTTTACTCATGCGTGGAGTATAGGAACAAAGGAAAACTGAAGGAACAAAACAGCAGCAGAATCACAGAACCCAAGAATGGACTAATAGTTACCAAAGGGAAAGGGACTGGGGAGGATGGGTGGGAAGGGAGGGATAAGGGCGGGGAAAAAGTAAGGGGGCATTACGATTAGCATGTATAGTGTGGGGGGGCACGGGGAGGGCTGTGCAACACAGAGAAGACAAGTAGTGATTTTACAGCATATTACTACGCTGATGGACAGTGACTGTGAAGGGGTATGTGGGGGGGACTTGGTGAAGGGGGGAGCCTAGTAAACGTAATGTTCTTCATGTAATTGCAGATTAATGATACCAAAAAAAAATTACGAGAAGAAAACTAAAGATCAATATTCCTCACTGTGTAGATATAGCTGTAGTCAACAAAATATTAGCAAGTCACACCAAGCAATATATAAAAAAGATTACACATCTTGACCAAGTAGAGTATGTCCTAGAAATGCAAAGTTGGTTGAACACTTGAAAAATCATTCAATGTAATTCATCTTATCAACTAAAAAAAGATGTATCCTATGAACATCTTAACATTATGAAGGAAACAGAGAAAAGTATGTCTGTTCTCACAATTTCAACATTATAGTTGAAGACTTCCCCAGGGTAATAAGGCAAGAAATAAAGATAGAAACTTCATTAACAAGCGAAAGTAAGTTTTAATTTTAGGATTTTGGATAGGAATTACCTTTGGGGAAGAGGGATAGTGACTGGAATGGACACGTGGGGGAAAGGTTTCTGAGGTACTGGCAGTACTACATTTCTTGACCTGGGTGGTAGTTACACAGATCTCTTTAGTGAGCTGTTCCCTAATGTGAATTTTCCCATATGTGTGCTATATTTCAGAGGTTTAAAAGTTAAAATATGTAATGAGATATGAACAGGGATGTTAGAGAAAACCCCCAAAGTATGAATGCATTTAAAAGATACTCATAATCATTAGTAAACCAGCAAACTGAAAATTAAAACAGTAAGATATCACTTTATACTTTTTAGACTGCAAAACTGCAAAAACAGCTTCATTGTATCAATTATTGGCAGGGATGTGCATAGGAAGACTCATTCACTGATGTTGGCAGCCTGGATTGGTCAGATCATTCTGAGGGGTATGTTCTATGTGTGCATGTGTTTGTCTGTGTATCTCCTATGCCCCAACAACTCCATTCCTTATTATATATTCCAAGTAATTCCCTTCACAGATCCAGGAGACATTAGATGGATCACTACAATGCTATTTGTGGTGGCAAAGTTCCCATTTCTGGTACATCACTGGAAATGGCATAGATGGACTTCAAGGAGTACTACGCAGAGTTGGAAGGAACAAATTAGCAATATGGACTGACCTTTAAAACATGTTTAATAAAAAAAAAAGAAACAATGAGATGTAACAATATTACTCATGTAAATTAAAAATGCCTGAATGCCACAACAGAATGTTTTTCAAGAATATAAAAATTGAATGATTGTATTAAATATAGTTAATTTTGGGAGGTGACCAAGGGAAAATGGGAGTACAGGGTGGTAAGAAAGAGTATATAATAGCCAGGATCAGACACCAACTTAACCAAATAAAATTCACATTACCAGTAGTGGCACAAACCTACATATAATGTGCTCCCTGATGTGATGCACTAAGGACACATCACTTGTGTGGTGTTCTTGCCAAAATTTGAAACCTGCATTTGAGCAGAAGGAACCATTAGAGAAATCCAAACTGAAGGACATTCTACAAAGTAACTGGCTGTACTCTTTAAAATTGTCAAGGTCACATAAGATAAAAGGGAGGCAGAGGAACAGGTTACAGGAGACTAGAGATATGACAACTAAATATGGCATTTTAGATTGGATCCTGAACCAGAATTAGGACAACTGTGAGTTGTGAGATATAAGGTACCTAGTGTATCTCAAAATTAACCCTTGGAGTGTTGACAAAGAGTATGTGAGCACTCTTTATATCTTTATATAATTTTTTAGATGTAATTCATATACCATAAAACACTCTATGTGCACTTTCCCATATATGTGCTGTATTTCAGAATTTTAGAGTATACAATTCAGTGGTCTTTAGTATATTCACAAAGTTGTGCAACCATCACTGGGACATTAATCCAGAACATTTTCACCATCCCCAAAAGAAAGCCTATGCCCATTAGCAGTCACTCCCCAATCCCTCCTTCTGCAACCCCTGGCAACTGTTCATCTATCAATCTCTCTAGATTTGCTTATTCTGGACATTTCATACAAATGAAATCATACAGTCAATGTGTGGCCTGTTGTGTCTGGCTTCTTTCAATTAGTGTAATGTTTTCAAGGTTCATCCAATATTGCAGCATGTAGAAGCACTTCATTCCTTTTTATGGCTGAGTAATATTCCATTGTATGGATATACCACTATGTTTATTCATATATCAGCTAATGAGCATTTGAGTTGTTTCTACCTTTTGCCTATTATGATTAGGAACAGTGCTGCTGTGAACATGCATTTGTTAAGATCTTTTTCCAATTCTTTGGGGTATATAATACCTATGAGTGGAGGTGCTTGGTCATGAGGTAACTTTAATTTTTTGAGGAACTCCCAAACTTTTCTAAAATAGCTGTACCATTTTAAACTCCCACCAGCACTATCTCAGTGTTGTCTTCGTTAACTTCTTAAAAATTGTCTGACATTGTTTCACAATAGAAAATTTCAAAAAAGAATATAGTCAGCTTCTGTACCTCTTCAAGGGAAAGCCAACACACCAATGTCCATCCCTTCATGGGTATCACAGAATGAGAATAGGTTGAGAAAAAAATGAGAATATAAGCCCCTGGTCACTTGCACCTCCAATCTTGCTGTGGGGTCAATCAAGGCTGGTACATTGGACTTAAGAGGGAAATGAAAACCTGGCTGTGTAACTAGAAGTTCTTCACACCATGCTCTATGGTCAACATATCTTGTTTTGATGACAAAGGACTAAAAAAAATCCCCAAGTATGGAAGTGGAAAACAGTTGAAAGAAAACTGTCCCTTTGATAAACTATGATTTCTCAAACATTATCATGATACCCCAAGACCTTTATCACTCAAAGGTTGTCAAATACTTTAAGTGGAATGACTTTCTCTTCCAAGGCACAAAGACTAGTGGGTTAAATACAGAATAGATGATGGAACTGATTGGTGGATAAGGAAGCTGGAAGACACACACACACGCACATACACAGAAAGCTCAATCTTTTAAGAGTTCCAAGTCATCGGCTTTATTTTTACTGAATTCAGCATAGGGCAACAAAAATGCATTATATCACTTCAATTGACTATTACATGCAGAAATTTATCCTTGCATTCCTTATATTTATTTCCAACTTTAAATATGTTAGCTCATATTAATTTAAAATACATGATTTCATATGAAAAATCTCCAGTTCATAAAAATTATAATTTCTCCTTAAAAAGTTACATGCCTTTATAATTGAGAATTTGTTTAAATTGCTAGTTGGTTTTTTTTTCATGTTTAGAGGACTAAAATTCATTTATCAGGACAGATAATCAAATCATAATGTAAGAGTAGTTTTCCAGAATCTATTTCCATTCTTTTCTTCCACCTCCTGTAAACTGGTGTTTTATAAGTTTCTCCATCATTCCACAAGAAAGCTGCTCTTCTTCAGTTTCATAAAAGATGGTGAACAGAGATAAAAAATCCAGTTAATCTAAATTCCAGAGTTCACTTCAGGGAGTAAATGATGGGGCAGGATGTTAGGATCGGGTGGGAGATTCGGATCTAGTGAGGGTGAGACATTCATGCATAAAATGTCAGTCATAAATCATTCATAAAAGTTATAGGGCTATGGTAAAGGGAGAACCAATTAAAGCCAGGTTCCTTCAGGTGGGTGAGACGCCTAATGAGGAGAAATGGTGAGGTAGCAGGGTGATGCGACTAGGACCACAGGTGCTATAGCTTCTCATAGTAATTATGAATAATTAACAACTCTAAGTGATCAGTCTTTGCAAGCTGGGGGCAGAGAGAAGGACTGATGACATTTACACCTTGTCTCTGGTTCATTCCTAGGCTGGTGTGGGAAATCCTGACAAAAATGATTCTGTATATGGTCATCAGCTTTCCTGGGGTCCTTTGTACTCTGTCCAGTAATAAAGTCCACTGGCTTATGCTTCCTGGAAAAGTTATTCCAAAGCAGTATAGGTAAAGCATTAATGAGACAGCCACGGAGGACATGTTTCCAGGTAGCCTGAAACCCAGCAGACAATGTAGCTGTTGTCTAACAAACACAGAAATCTACATTGTATGCCAGGTTCATGCCCCAGACCTGGATGTTGGGCCTACAAGTCCTCCCCATGTATGATTTCAACATGCCTGCCTGCTACACGCAAGGTTTCTGGTCTTTATCTTCTCTACCACAGGGAAAAAAAAAACAACCACAAGTCAGAGTAAGCACTGCCAGGACTAATCTACAAGTGAAATATCCTTAAACTGTTATACCATGAAGCTGTTACTATTTAATCACCACATTATTTTGAAAATGACATTTAAAAGTCAACAGATGAAAAGGATGGATGGATGGATGGTTAAGGTAGACAGGTAGATACTAAGTAGGTAGGTAGGTAGATACATACACTTTTATAAGTAAGTAGAAGTAGATTTAATAGATAGTTTTCTGACCAAGTGATTGATTTATAGAAATATAAATAGGTAAACAGGTATATATATAGTTTTGTGACCAAATGAGAACTTCCACAGAGGGAAAACAGAAAAAAAAGAGAAGAACAACCATGGGTGAAATATCCAGATTCCTCCCCCTTGTGCTGAGACCAAATACACCTACCTCATCATTTATAAAAACTTGATGGTTTCCACACTGATAATGGAAGACTGAACTACCCCAGAACTTCACTGTGTGTGCATGTGTGTGTGAATCAAGATAAAGCTTTCATTAGTACAGATTTCCCAATAAGCTTTCTGAGGACACTATAACAGAAGCTAGAAGATGCCATCAGAGACCCAGTAGCCAGATGTAGCTACTGATTACAAAAGACAGGATCTACACTGGCTACTGAGCCAGTGAGGGTACCTACACATTCCAGCATCTAGAAGATCCAGTCTTCTGGGAGGGGTGCTGTGGAAGAAAGAAAAGACATCAATCCTGGAAACTTATCTGGAAATGGTATCAAGAGATTTCAATTGCACATTTGCTTTATTGAAATTCTGACAATAACCCCATGCATGCAGTTTAAAACAACCCCTAGATTTATTTGCTTATTCAACATATAATGATTGAATGTTATTGAGTAAAGGGTCAGATACTCTCTCAGGTGCTAGAGATCCAGCAGTGAACAAAAAAGATGAAAACCCCTGCCCCTCTGGAGCACAGATGATTGTATCTGAGAAAATCTACAAGTGATTACTTGGCATGCTTTTGCAGTGAAGTGTAATACACACACACACACACACACACACACACACACACAGAAAACAAGCAAGAGAACAAAAGAAAACACAACCCACCATTTTATTGTGGTCTTGGGGGCATTTGTTTGCTTTATGCCACTTTAATTTGGGTAATCTAGCACTGATGCACATATGTAAAATGAATTACAGCAAAAAAAAATTGTTTCCTGCTATAAATTAAGGATGATACAGTTATTTTTACAAAATGTCTAAAACACCAAAAGAAAACTGCAAAAAAAAAAAGTCACAAAGTATGTAAAGTCAAAGCTCACCAATATGTCAGTTCCAAACTAGCCTGGATAGTATAACATAGGTATAAAAGAAGTTACAACACAGGTGTCCTCCCCACTGATTCACTCATTCATTCATTCACTCCAGAAATGCCTATTGAGTGCCTTCTCCATACTTTAGCCAGGCACTGAGGATATGACACTAAATGAAGTCCCCGAGAATCTGAGATTTAAGGTACTACCCACACCTTAGACAAAAAAAAAATTCAATAGATATGCATGGTCATTTCACAGAGTAATGTGACACTGATGAGGAATGAAATTTCCATAAGGAAGTCGGTGAAAGCTTCATTGCAGGTGTGACATCTGAGCAGATCCCTGGAGGAGGAGGACTGTGCACATGCTGGATAAGAAAGAACACCACGGACAGAGGCAAGAGTCAGGACCAAGGCCAGAGAACAGAAAAAAGCCTAGTATCTTGGAGGCATTCTTCCATTAGCACATGACCACTGTGGCCAATTATTGTTTTCAACTTTTAGGATTATTCTAGAATGTAAACAGCTGTGATTTTGCTCCAAGTACATACATTTTGGAATCCTACTTGCACATGAATTTAAAAGGCTTTGGATATCACTTAGAAAAGTTTTAGGGAACTTATCATCAATTGGAAGAAAGGCTGTATTTTAGAACTATAAATTAGGATACTTTCACTGGACATGCAGCTGGACCACAGAATGACATTCAAATATTTATTGCCAAGAAAAGTAGCTTTAAAAAATGTGTTAGCTATAAGAAAACATGGTTGACTTTCTGGGAGCTCTAAGTACATAAATTTCAAGGGAATGATTTAATCACAGATGTCTAATTTTAAGAGGGAACACACTTGCCAAGTCTTAATAACAGTGTTTCACCAGGTAGTCAGCTCTTACGGGATGAAAAGGGTAGAATTTACAAGGTGAAGTAGGTTTTTGTTGGATTGCTTTCTTTTAAATAAATTGAAACCAAGTCCATCTATGAAGTGTATTTTGACACTGCCTAAAAACTAGGGCCTACTCCATATCACACTGGGAAAAAAGAATGCTTGTACAGGTTTTGCTAAATCTTGCCCTAAACAGAAAATAAAGCATTTTGAGATACATGAATTTATATTTTATAAACCACTAAAACTAAATGTTCATAGCTCTACTTTTATGACTAACAGTTAAATGAGGCAAGGGTTTACTTTGGTTACTGTTAATGTCAAAATCCTCTGTATTTAGATCAGTAGAATGGTATTTTTCATTCTCCAACCTTGCCCTACCTAACCTCCAAATCCTCCTAAATCTAAATTACTATAAAATTAAGATGAAATTTTCCCTGACCTGTACATTTGTCTAGGCAATACAAAAAGGAAAACCTGTAAATGAAATTTTATTAAAGCCTATTCCGTATGTTGACCACTAACCAATAATACACATTTTAAAAGTTTATTGAAACATAGACACTAGAATATATAAGGAATATACTATAGCATGAACTGCTAACCAATAATACACTTTCGAAGTTTATAAATGAAAGTTGAAGAAAAGAAATAGGGTCTAACTAAAATTATGGTATTATTTAATTCTATCATCTAACAATTTAGAAGACAACTAACACCCAGGGGCAAGTGACAAAATTGTAACAAAGGTACCTGTGCTCAAGTCCTATTCATAGCACAAACAAACAACAGAAAGACAATAATGACCAAAAAACTCTAACCATTCTGGCTAAAGAACATTCATTTGAGGTAGGCATAATGGAAAAGAGAGTTTGAGGAGAGGAAGATTGATAAAAAGTTAAGCCTGCCCCCTGCTGTTGGAAAGCCTGCTTGGAATTGTGAATAAAGACCTTCTCTTGAAATGGTAACCTAGAATGTGAAGAGCTTACCCTCCAGAATTAGGACAGAGGTGACCTGTAAACCAAACCCAAAAAGCAACGAATCCCTCCCACTGATGTTTGATACCAAGATGACAGATAGAAAATGGCATTCTCATCAAAGTTTCACTAGAAAAGAACAAAATGCTGCTTTGTGGGTCTTTCAACTCAAAGAAGAGTAAACTTACCCTGCTCTTTAAAGGGATTACATGCAATTCTATTTTGCCCCCCAAGAGTATACATAACTTTAGAAATCATAGAATTTTGGAAAGAAATTTTTCCAAGTACTGTATGTGAAAGTAAATGAAGAGGAACAAACGATTTCACAGGATTGCCAGAATGTTAACTTTACCAAGTCAAAATTGTCAAGTTTGGCTCTAAATGTCCCCTCCAATGCCCATCCACGACATTTCACATATTTTAGTGGACGTGTCAACATCCTTCTGTAACTAAATAGGACTGTAGTCAACTTCTACTTCTAAAACACATTTATGGATTTGACAGAATACACACCAGTATGCTATTCTAACAAAGAGTTTACCTTGGAAGTGAACAAAAACCACCTCCCTCTCATGAGCAGATCTCATGCTAAATGTTCTTTACACACACACACAAGGAAACTTTGGGAGGTGTTGGATACGTCTGCCACCTTGACTGTGGTGATGGTATCATGCATGTTTGCATATGTCCAAACTCATTAGATTGTACACATTAAACATCTGCAGTTCTTTACATATCAATTATATGTCAATAAAGTTGTTTACAAAAAAACATGCAACTAACATACAAACTACCTCCAACATGGCTAAGAACAAAAAATCTTGTTAACTCTAACTATAGACCAGGAAAGAAATGCACATATATACACACAGTGTGCCATGGGGTGAACTTATGCCAGAGGAAAAACCAACTTTTAAATACAGGTGTCTGACTAAAATACATTCTTGTTCAGATTCCTTTTGTGTTATGTTAAAAGTATCTGAGCCTGGGTCTCACCATGACCAGCACGTGGCCACAGCCCATGCAAATCTTGCATACATGAGATCCTGTGACCACACCTAACAAAAACATTTATACCAGCTGATGGTCACTTGATTCTCACATCACTCTGTTTAGTAAATTGCTCTGCAAGTCAACTTAAAGGTTAAGGTGAATATTTTTTGAGACGTTAGTGTGCAAGACATTTTTTAAAACAGACAACATTCCCTGCCAGATATTTCTAGTCTGAACAGGCCTGGGAAGGGACGGGGTTGGTACAAGATCCTAAAACATGCTTCTAAAGGTAAAACCACTCATAGCCCATAAAGACAGACTCAGACTAGTTTTTAAAAAAATAGTATTTAGCAATCAGGCACATGCCTTTAATCCTGCTCAACAAAAACCAAACTTTTTTAAAACAATCATTGGATGAAAACATGAATCATTTTACTCACTAAAAACACTTGGAGAAAAGATGGTTTTCACCTAAGTAACATTCTTTTTATGGACAGTTTCCAGAAATTAAATGCACTAAATCCACATGCAAATATTCTGTCATTCTTTCCCTCTCTGAAAGAAACCCCCAAATTCTCTTCATACAATGTCATCAGTGTGCAGGGGATGAACTATTACTGAAAAAAATGAAAGTAAAAAATTTGCATTCTATCAATTATCAGTAACAACATGAGTATCAAAATAAGGGGACCGTTTTCTGAACCTGTAAATAGAAACACCAATCAGTTCTGTCAAGAATTCCTGACTTAGACCTTTATTTAATCACAAGTAAGCCATAACTACTCTATATTATTATGGACGTCTTTCTAAATTTGGTCTCATTCATAAGCATTGTGCTATTTTCTAAAGGCATTGCCACCACATACACCTAACAGTACAGGTTCCATTTATACTCAAATCTCTACCAAGCCTCTGCTTTCACCACTCTCCAAAACTCCTTCTGTCACCGAATGTTCTCATGGTACAAAATTCTTTTGTTTTTCTTCCTTAACTCTTCCCATCAAGTTTCACTCAGCTCGTAAATTAGAGGCAGAGCAAATATTTGGTCTCTCACAGTGCTTGCCCAGCTCCTTTTCCCCTTCTGCAGGGCCTGGCTTAGAGACTCTTCTAGGATACTAAGGAGCCTTCCTGGAGTCCTCTGTAAAGTTAGCTGCATGCCTCTCAGGGCCAGCTCCCTGTCAACTGTGTCTCAATCAGAAACACAAGCCCAATTCTTTGTTTAGAAATGTGGTGCCCTCTGAGAATCTGAACTCTCTAACTATAAGAACCGAGTCCTATTCTTTTGAGATTCCCCAGGCACTATCACAGTAGAGTGGCTCATCGTAATCTTCTAGTAAATGCTTGTCAAATAAAGAAATCTGAGTGAAGTACCTGGCACCTGAACTAATACACTTCAAAAAACAAAGAACCATGAAAGAGTAGTAGGGTTATCTCTATTTCAGGAAAATTCTTATATTTATCTTTTAAACATCAGTTGCTTCCCATCATAGTGCTTTGGTACCTTTCCATTAACATTTTCCATTAACATTCTACTCCAGTGAAATGAAAA